ATATATATATATATATATGAGATGAAACATCACATGATACCACATTAATGTGTACAGTTTTTATGTACCAATTAAACTAAATTTAATTTACATATTTTAAAATAAGTTTTATTACCATTGAAAAATGAATTGAATCTATAAAGTTTGTTGTCTTGGAATGACGATGTTAGAAAGAGAAATCAAAAACTTTCTTCCGTTTGTTCCTTATTAATTCCAAGATTAGACAGAAGCTGGACACTAAGCCCCTCTGCTCCCTTCCTATCTTGCCAGGGCATTTACTGAGCCTTTGTGTGCAGGTATGGTATGAGCCCCACCCCCAGCTTCACAGCTCTGTCTAAGACCCCAGCAGCTGGCATCATTATCTCAACGTGTGAAACCTGGGGCAGAGGAACCCACTGACCCCAGAGCTCAGATAATACATGGGTGTTGTTTTAGTCCTCAAACTTTGTGGTAATTTTTTTTGCAGCAATAGAAACCTAATGCAAGTGTTAGTAGGTGTTTGTGTCTGTGTTCTTTACTTTTCTCCTCTTTGAGAAATACAGGGCCAGACAAACCTTTTTATTTATCATGGATGGCAAGAAACAGGCCACCCACCTAATGCTTGTATTTTATGGGAAGAATTCATAGCTTAACACACATAGAGGAATGGATCTACTCTGTGTCCAACACCCAATTTAGCATTGGGATTGATTTTGCTAATCAATCAGATGAATCCGGTTTTCCCTATGAAAATGAGTCAGAGTTTTCCTACGAACTCTTAAAAAATACAAAAACCATGTCTTTAGTCATTTTAGGCTTCAAAAGCACCTGATTACAGCATGTTTTAAAAGTGAGTAGTAGAACTTTAAAAAAACAGAAAATGATGAAGCCCGCATAATGAGCACTGTGTTTTATGCTGCTACCTTTCCGTGTGTTGGTTACTTTACTTTGTAAAAAGGCTGGAAAATTGAAATTGTCATATGGTTGGCAGTGAAGAGTATTGCGCATGAGTGGTTTGGTACTATGATGACAAGAAATACTTAGCATGGATATTTGTGTACTCCCGTCCAAGCGGAAGGAAGAGGGGACCTGCGCAGGCAGGTTCTCTTGGGTTTCTCTTTCAGCCCCCCACGTTCCTAACCCAGAGCTGTGAGGAGAGGTGTGAAATCTCACTGGGGAAGGGTCCTTGGGAGAGGGTGACTCGGGTGAGCCAGCTTCTATGTTCCTCCTGTTAGACTTGCTTCTTCTTTATTCAGGACAATGAAGAAATGGAACCTGGGTGGCTTGGCTCTCAGGGCCCTGTAGTTCTATCCAGGACAGTGAGAAAGAAGTTCTGTCTCTGCTATTCATGTGGGTCCCCTTCAGTTCCTTTCACTGTGTGCTTCCGGGGAACTGCTGCTGCCTTCTCTCTGCTCTTGTGCTTTTCCTGGCTCCTCCTGCAGAGGGAAAGACCAGCTGGAGGCTTCTTTTTTTCTTTCGTTGATTTTATTTCACAAAGATGGGATTTAAAGGAAAGCTTCTACCTAAGCTCTGTAATTCTCCCGTTCTTGCTTGAAAAACTATTCATTAAAGATTAATTTGGATTAATAGGCAACTACCTTGGACTTGACTAAAGGCAGTAATCAAGAATGACCCTCACAACTTAATAGGATGTGTTGCATACATTTAGTGTGAGCCTGGGGCTAATCAAAAGACATTCCATAGATTAACTTGTCTCTTCTGCACAGAAAGCCTGTGCGGAAGGTTCAGGGATGTCCAGGCACTTGTGCCATGGTGCCTGGTGGTGACGAGGGGAGGGTCGGAATGAAACCCGGAGGGGTGCTCAGGGACTCAGGCCTCCGTTCCTGCCTTCTTAATGCTAGTTTGATGCGATTTGACTGCTTTCTTCCTAACACTTAGCAGTGTTACTTTTATGGGGTGGGACTGGAAGTGAAGAGCTTGAGGATAAAATAGAGGGAAACATGGCTCTTAAATGCCTGTGATGGGGAGTTTGGAAAGACTGGGGAGCATTCTGTGCGGCATTGTTCCCTTCCCTACCAGCAGTAGTAAGAAACTCATTTGTAAGCATCTGGGTGTTACTAACCTTATAATCAGTGTGATAATACAACCAAGGACTCGGAAAACATTTATTTCCTTTTCCTTCTTCTTCTTTATACCATCAGCCCTATTTCTCTCCTTACTCAATGTTCCAGCCACAGAATGCTCTTGTGTGTGTGTGTGTGTGTGTGTGTTTATAATAAATGAAGAGTTTCACTTGTCAAGGATTTAAATATTTAAATAGCATTTTGAAAATATTCTTGAAGTAAAGGCTAATGAAAAGTAACTAATTTCTATAATTATTCTTTTCTGCCTCACTCAGTATTGGCTGGATCCTTCAAAAACCCTTGCGGAGCACAAAGAACTCATCAACAGTAGGTATTCAGTTTTAACTTCGTTGAAGTCCTGCTTACTGGGGTGTAGACGTGGGCTTTGTCGGGAGAATTGTGTGTACCGGTTCGCACTGGTACGGTATGCATCGCAAAGCTCTGCTTATCGGGCCTGGTCAGACGGCGTGGATCTTAGTACTGTATCGCCTTTGCCCTTCATTTTGTCTGTGGTTTTCTTTCTATGCCTGTCTTTAAAATTTGACTTTAAAGACAAACATACAGAAAATACAGAGAGGCGTTGATTTGAAAATTAGGTGATGGGTTATGGGGCGGTATTATTATTCACACTGCTTAGTTTACTGTTCAGTAATTAACGGGCGTCCCTGTGAGATGAAAAATTACTACAGCTCTGGAGTGGGGGTAGCTTTTGGCTTCATTAATGTGAATATTACTAGGACACTCAGTATAATTGTATATTCCTTAATTTTAATTTCTGTAACCCACTTTAATTTATAAACGCACACACACACACACACACACACACACACACACACACAGGAAAATAGTCCTTTAATTCTTTTGGCCATGTTGGGAATGCAGTTTAGTGGTAGGTAGAGTATTTGCCTAGCTAGCATGCATGAGGTCCTGGGTTCAGTCCTTCGTACCGGGGGAAAAAGAACAAAGGATAATTTTTTCAAATTCTGCTAAAATATATATAATATAAAATTTGTTAATTTACCCATTTTTATCTACAACGCGGTGGCACAGTGGCATTCAGTGCATTCCCATTGTTAGCTAGATGCAGTGGTGCATACCTGTAATCTGAGCATCCAGGGAGGCTGAGGCAGGACGATTGCAAGTTTGATTTCCATCTAGCAAATTAGCAGAGACTCCGTCTTAAAATGCAAAATTAAAAGAAAAAGCAGCGGGGCTGGGAACGTTGCTCAATGGTAGAGTTCAGTCTCTAGTACTGACAAAAAAAAATGTATAAAAAACCCATTTATATTGTCATGCTGCTATCACCACTGTCCATCTCCAAAATTTTTCTGTCATATCAAAGTGAAACTCTACCCATTAAACCAGTTTTGCTGAAGTGTGTGAATTATTCAGATCAACACTTGATGGGTTCTTGATCACCCTACCCGAGTGTGTATTTGCTGTGTGTAGCGGCTCCTTCTTGGTGGTGTCCTGGGCTGTGTGGTGCTTTGTGTTCAAGGGCAGGAGCACCTGGACCCAGAACTGGAGAGCAGGCCCTGCTGCACCACTGCACTCGAGTGCTCTTTCCTCACCATCAGCATCACTTTGTTTCTCCGCTTTCCACCACTCTGGCAGAAACCCCTGGAGTTCACAAGTTGCAGCTCTGGCCCTTTTGAACCAATTTAAAAAAACATTTGGAAAATTTAGAAAAATTTCAGGAATGATTATTTTAAAATAAACTCATAGAGGTCCTTTCTAAGAAAAAGTTGAAGTTTCAATTATGATGAAGAAACATGTAAATTATCTTAGTGTTTTGGGACATAAAGTGTCTATTTACATCATGTAAAATGTTTTACTTAAATATCACTATAAAAGGCAATCACTTTTTTATCCTAAAAATGTAACACTGTGAAAATGTGATGAACAGCAAGAATAAAATACTATTGCAGTTGAGCAAATACGTCACCAAAGAACACTTACATTTCATCTCACGAAGTAGTTTGATAATAAAATAAGTGAAGGAAAATGGCATCACATTTCCAATAGAGAACTCAGAAGGAATATCTGAAATTACAGAACATGCATTAGTCACCAGCGTTCTTCAAGTCGTGGAGTACCTACCACTAAGCTAATTGGAAATTCCTTATTATCCTTAGAGGCCTTGAGACTAGTCTTCACCAAAGGTAGATTAGGAGAGTCCCAGTTTCTGGCTCTTACCTTTTTCTGAGGTAAAATAATCTTAGCTTCACTTTACACAAAGTCTCTTAAAATATTGACTCTGTGGGTTAAGATAATAATTTGATAATTTGCTTCATCGGCACTGATTTTTATAATTAGTCTTGGATAAGAAGCCAAAAAAAAAATCTAGGTAAACATATCTTTGCCTGAAAATGATGACTTCTGCAGCCTTTAGTCTCTCTACTAAGCGGTGACATGTACTAAGCAGCGAGTATGTGCTCCCTCTAATGGTATTGGAGCTCTTCTTTTCCCTGCCGGACTGCATAAAGCACTGCCAAAACATCAGTGAGCACCAAGTATTGGCAAACTTGGTTTTCCTCTCTGAGGCTTTAGTACGTTGCTTAACTCCTCGGAGCTCCGCCTGCCTCACTTCTGCTACCAGGTTGTTGTGGGACTCAAATGTTTATGCAACATTTTTGTACCTTATCAAGTGCAATCAGTTGGCAATGATGCCTTATATTTAGGCCACAAGCCACTTTGTATATGAGTGGGAAATGGCTAAATTGGGCCGAGTCCTTAAAGAAAAATTAGCCTAAACCGAATGTTTTTCATTGGGTACTTTTCAAACTTCTGCTTAACTGTTCATCACTAAACACATTTGACACGGGTGTGCTTGGTGAATAGAGTGTAATCTGTCATGTTCCAGAGAATGAAAGCAGCTTTGGGGTCTGGAGAAGGCCTCTTCCCTTTGTGCAAAGTCTGTGTAGCATCTGTGTACTCCCTGCCCCCTAGGTGCCAACCCCATTGCCTGCGGGCACAGGCAGACCCATCTGCTGGGGAACACAGAGCTCAACTGACATAGACAGATCAGCAGAGAGCAGACTTCTTGGTTCTTCTAAATATTTAATAGTCTTGCCTGCCTGACATCTATGTTCATGGGTTTAGGGTGTATTTGTCAGGAATACAAACATAATGGTTAAAGAAACATGCATATCAAACAGATGAAATCTGTTCTAATGAAATAAAATTAGAGCAAAGTTTTAAAATGTTTCCTTTTTAAAAGCTGTAACACAAGAAGGGACTAGATGAGAGGGAGGGATAAGTCCTGGCCTCGATTGTCATTTGTATGCTGGAAATCAGGCATTGGGGTGTTATAAACATAGGCGTGTGTGAGTAATAATAATGACATAATTTGTAAATTAAAGATGCATTATATCTTTATTACTTCTAATTTATTTCATTCCCCCCACTTCTAAATTTATAACTTTACTACTCGTTAAAAGTGGAAATAGACTAGGGTTGCTTTATGTTAGTTACGCAATACCAGAGACATTTACTGCATATAGGCTTCCCATCTTTTCTGTTTTATTTCTGTGGGAGAATGTCTGTTAAAAAAATTTTGCAAGCATGACTACCATTTGGTGCACCCAGTAAAAAGTCCCATTTCAAAGAGCATATTAGATTTAGTTGCTGCACAGCTTGGAAGTATTCAGTTTTGAAAATAGTGTGCATCAGATTCATAACCTCTGAAACAACTACTTCTAGTAAAGGATAATATAGGATGGTTATCACCTGAGGGACTTTTCATCTTCCTGCATAATATGAGTGCTTATTTTATGTTTGCCCATGTATGTACAACCCTAGGCTTTGCTTCTGATTTTTTTTGGCTTTGTTTTTGTTATTCATAGACTTAAGTTTTTCTGTGTGTGGTAAAATGAGATGAGAAATCTCTTTTAACACATGTTAAGAATTCATTTTTAGATTCAGAAAAGTTTAAGAATGAAACATTGACCCTAATTCTATGACATAGCTTCACTAATGATTTTAAAAAGATGTACATAAGAAAATTCTAGCTAATCAGTGTAAAGAGAAATTTTCTAACCCCTCTTCTCAAATTTTGCCACTGCTTGTAATTTCTTGTGTATTCTTCTAGGAAGAAAATATAGATTGGCTGATATTTTATTTTTTCACAGAAGGAATCATGTCTCTTGTCCTTTGTAATATAGATTGGTGCTTCCTTCCACATCAGCTCCTCCAAATCTTCTGTTTAGGTAGTTGCTTCGTGTCCTATAGTATATGTCCTATGATTATGGTTGGCTAAGGTGGTGTACCTGCTCCTGAACATTTGTTTCTAGCTTTTTGCTAATTTTTTTGTTGTCATTGAACTCCTGCGGTCAACAGTTTCAAACCCTGCTGTTTCCATTTTGTTTTCTTGTGTCTTGTGAAGTTCTCAGTGCAGTTCTTAATATTTATATAATATTCTGACACTACTTCGACTATAATGTAAATTTTAATTAATGCTTATTTCTTATTTTAGCTGGACCTCCATATACTCTGTATTTTGGTATTAAATTCTATGCTGAAGATCCGTGTAAACTGAAAGAAGAAATAACCAGGTACAGTGTTGACTGTTTTTTAACAGATACATGGATGGTATGTGTAAAACACTTTATTGAAAACAAACTAAAATTGAGATTAACATTTAGATGTATGTCTACCCGAATTTTGTGTTTCATCTCCTGTGAGGATTAAATTTATACTAGTGTTGCATGAGGCAGATCCATATCTGATGATAGATGTGTTTGAATAATGGCGTGAACCTGGGTGACATGGTGATAGATTTTGCATCTGCTTTGATGGGCTATTCGGTATCATTTTGTTAAGCATGCATTCTGCTTTTGTATTCATATAAAAATAGTCATTTGAAGTGCCTAAAGGAAGGATATTTTGATGCCCAGTTTACATATGTAAATATATATTTGAAGAACCATTTATTTCCTTTTAAATACTTGTAGCTAAAATATGGGCTATGCAGATGTTTCATTTATCTCTCCAGGAAATGAAAAGATAATTATCTTTAGTGTCACCAGATAATTTTATTTCAGTTAAGGCACAATGTCTAGTTGATATTGATCAAGTTGTAAAAGCGGTTCATGCCATCATCGAAAGTGGCTTATAAAGAGCAGAGAGTGGTGTCGTGTTTTAACTTATTCATGACCAGTGAACCGGCTGCATGTGGTAGCAAAAACAAAAGCATTTTCCTTAAACTAAGTGATCAGTTTTTCCAGTGAAACTTTATCATGGGCTCAAATAAAGCCCAATGCATTGCTTTAAGATTGTATCTTTGATAAGTAAGGTTTTGTTTCTATTCCTTTATCATGTACATATATAATCATACTTGATATAGGATTCCAAAAGGAATCACTTGAGGATAGATAAGAGATGAATGAGATAACCAGGAAGATAAACTTTCAGATTATAAAAAGTAGTATAGAATCATAGTCACTTGGAGTTCCTTCTATGTGCTCTAAATTTTTTTCTGAAATAAATGAAACTGAAGGGTTCCAAAGTCATGCATTTTAACCTCAACCTTTGTAGACCATTCCTGACATATCAGCCAGTTTCAATTTAAACTTTTTTTTTGATAGGAAATCTTACAGCCTTGAAAAGCAAGAAGACATTCAATTGGAAATGAGTAATGCCTGAAACTTTTATCAGTACTGTCATGTTTTCTTTCTAGGTCTATTCAGAATAAATCTATAATCTCTCATCATTAGTCCTTTAAATAATTTGTGTCCTCATGAGATCTGTTTAATTTCTTTTTAATTCTAATTCAAATATTTTGATATCCTTCCATGTATTGTGTTATTTATACTTCTGTGTCCTATACAGATCTAACGTCCTTAACACGCACATCAGGTAAAGCAACAGGCTTTGGAGTCAGACAGCTGAGGTTCACATCTTTGCTCTGTCCCTCTCTAGCTGTGTAGTTCTGAGATTACATAACCTTTTAAAAATCTGTTTTCTCATCTGTATAATGGAATTATAACAGTTCTTCAAAAAAGATGCCTGGAAGCACATATAAGAAAATGCATCCAAAGTGCTTACCATAATGCAGAAAAATCTAAGTGCTCCATAGATGGTAAGCATAGTAAACATAGAAATAAGGAGGGTTATTTTATATTTTTCAAGTTATTGATTTAAAAACTTAGGAAAAGACCAACATGAAGCCCTGAGATGGGTCTTCCAGGTTTAAATCAGAACTTCATGGGTGTAGGTGTTCATTTAACTATAAATCATCATAGTACTGCCCTCTAGCCTGCAATTCCGGAATTTGCATATCAAGACCACATTCACCCACACACTCCTTTTCATTCTATAGCTATGCAAATCACTGTGTTCCCAGTGTAGAGTGAAAAAAGACTCAGTCAAGATCAGGGAGAGTCCAGTTGCAGTGTATGTCAAGAGGGGAGCTGTCAGCTGCCCCACTGTCGTTCCTACCTGTGTTGCCACTGGCATTTTGTTGAACTTTTATGCATCTAACAACTCTCTCTAAAAGAAAATGTTATTTCCCAGTGACTCATTCATGACTTCTTTTAAGCTCCAAAAAAGAAGTACTGGATTTGATGTTTTTAGTTTTGTAATGTGTTAACAGCATTTTGTTGGAGATTGACATCAAGTTCACTTGTTACTGTTACCATTCTTTTTGTAAATCATCTCTCCTGTGTGAAGAAAGCTTGATTTAGCTTCTTTACTAGCTGAGTGGCTTTCAGTCACCTGAGTCGTCCCCTCCTTTCAGTGAAGATAACAGTCCTTATCTGATTCAGAGCGGTGGTGAGGGTCACATTCCATTATAGACACAAAAGGCATTTGTGAATTTTAGAGGGCTGTGCAAATGTACTGGTCTCAACAACTTGTTCATCCTTGATTTCAATTCAGCTTCTTTTAACAAACACCAGATAAAGAAAACTTTGAGGCCAGTATTTCAAATCTGTATTTGTATTGTGCTGAGTGTAGTATTGTTTTAAATTGGAAAGGGTGGGAGACCACAGACTTCTTCCCAATTCTCGTGATCCACTTTGGGAGACATTGTGTGCATCAATATATTAATCTCCTTAAGAAAGTAACCAGATACTGCTTTATGAAGCCTCTGCTTTGCACCATAATGTGTTCTGGACACTTCCTTGTCAAGCACATCATTTTAAATTAGTGTTGTAGCTAGGGTCACAGTATACTGTCCAAATCCTGACATTTTAAAGAATGGTGAGCAAAGTTGTTCATAATCTTACCTCTATAATAGGCTTAAACTAGATGGAACTGTTCTAGGTAAACTGGATATAGGTTCACCCTAATTAAAATGAGAAATAGAGAAAGACGCACTCCATCATGGCTTTGATCAGAATGACACAGAAGGAAAGACCCAGCAACTTTGAATCTATTTTGTCCGTAAAATAGACCGAATAAGTTATATATAGCTAGGGAGGGTGAGATGGGAGGATGGCGAGTTTGAGACCAACCTGGACTATGCAGCAAGACCCTGTCTCAAAAATAAGAACAAAATTATCTTTATCATAAATTTATCTTATATGAATCTAATAAAATAGCACAAATAATCAGATTCTTAAAACTAATGTGCTTGCATTCTTCTGTTTCTTAAGGATCTCTGGTAGCTTTAAAAGACAGAATGCTCAGGAAAGTTAGATGAGGTATACTTTTTCTCCTTGCCCTTCTCAGAAATTGCAAATTAATTTTTTTTTACTTCCATTTAGCTCTCTGTTCCTCTGTCCACCCATCTATCAAATCAGCTGTTGAATGAGCACTAGTGTGTGCTGAGGCTCTAGACATGCCAGTGGGATGTGGTTACTGTTGCTTTGTATCTGCTTGTCTTTGTGTTACAGGTCTGTTTCTGTTGTACTCTCAGTGTTTATCTTCCCTTTTGTCTTCAGAGCAAGTACCTGTGGGTTTAGTCCCTTGTTTTTTTGTTTCTGTTTCTGTTTTTGTTTTTACTTTGCAGGGGATTGGGCTATCTAGTCAAATATTATAAAGGTCTTAATAGTGGAATGTAAGTAGTACCTGTAAACCCTTTTCTTAAGGAACCAAATTTTAGGACAGGAAAATCAAAGGTCTTATAGAGACGGAGGGTATAGCAAACACAAGTTTTCATCAAGTAGAGGTAATTCTAGTCCACATTACTAGATTATAAGCTTTTGTACTTAAGTTCTAATATTATTTTACTCTGTTTTTTCATCTAAGAGGAGCACAAACTTTTGTTAAAAAATGGATTTGATATCCTGGGTGAGCAATGGGAGTGGAAAGTGTTAAGTAGAGTTGGAAAATAAGTAAAAATTACGGAGAGGAAGTCACTCCTGGTCTGTAGCAAGAAATATGCATCATGAAGTAAGCAGAAATCTTACAAGTGATTTTAGGAGCTTTATCCTGAAGGCCCAGGGAAGTTTTAAAGAATAGTTTTAATCAAAAACGAACACACTCCTATTCACCAGTGGAGTCCTCTTTACCTCCTAGGAAGATTGGAAGGAAGGTAAGTATGGATGCAGGCAGGCCAGTTAAACGCTTTTAGAAGTCTGAAGGACAGTGATCCAAACTAGGGAATGGAGAGGAAAGCATTGTTTTCCAAACAAGTGTTTTGGTGATAGAGGGTTGATGCCAGGATTGACCACAGAACCCCCAGGTTTCTCTGGCATGGACATTTGAGAATAATACCGTAGTAGCATTTCCTGAAACAGGCAGGGAGAGGCACATAGGGCATTGAGCAGATTTTTCACTAAAGCCTGTTGTTGCAATCAAAGTTGACACCAATCTTTCAACAGTAATCAGTGTACCATCTAATACTTGGTTTCCCTCACTGCGGACTTAGGTAGAGGGCAGCTGGAAAAATGGTATTTATCACAGCAGATTTTTCAAATTCATTTCTTTTGCTTTTCTTTGCCCCTCCCAATGATATCAAGAATCACCTTGCAAAGGAAGAGAAATCACAGAAAGCCTAAAATGTATTATATTAGTGTGTGTGTGTGTGTGCGCTCATGTGTGGTTGAGAGCATGGTGCTGATGATTCATTGTGTTGGTTCAAATCTCTGTCCCCTCTCAGCCCTCTGGAAGAAAGACTGAATAAGAAAAAATAAAAAGCTAGTCAGAGCCCCAATAACATTCTGCTTCAGAGAGTTCTAGGGTCAGAGTGCTTGGATTCCAGTTCTGGCTCTACTGTTAAACTAGTTACCAGATGTTGGACAAGTTACTTTATCCCTCCACGTCTATCAATTTCCTTATCTACAGAATGGAGGTAATAGTGCCAAACTCATTTTAAAAGTTTTGCCTAAGTTGTTATATGTAAAATACCTCAGGTGAGTTATAATATTTACAGTGTTTAGAGGTGTTATAATTGTAACAGATTTTCTTTTGGTAACAGAATGCACAAGGCTGCTCATAATGAGCAGGGTCTTAATAAGTGGGAGTATTCAGAGAATTATGCTACAATAACCTTTCTGTCTGTACGTGTAATTTTGGGCCTTGGAGATAACACCTGTAGTCTAGGTGGGGTCCTCCCAGCAAGAGTGTTCTGTAATAGCCGTGGTGGCGGGGCAGCTATGAAAATGGCCCGCGCTTCACGTTCAGCCGTGACATCTCCCTGTGAGGTGGGCGCTGTCACCGCGCCGATCTGGCTTGTGATGAGAGGAGCTGTTATTGAGGGTAAGCAGCAGCCCCCCATGGTGGTGCAGTGACTAGCAGAGCTGGGATGCAAGCCAGGCTGCCTACCTCGAGAGGCTGATCTTTCCGGATGTAAGTCTGTGTTGTGTCGCTACGGGGATTCCATACGAGTCCCTCTCCTCACAGAATGGGGGAGGCGGCTTTATTTCCACCCACCGTTATGAGTGTTGACCTTGCTGATCAGGGCCTGAAAGTTCAAGTTTGAGTAGTGTAAGAGATTGTTAATCTCTTTTCTCCATTTCTCTTTTAGATATCAGTTTTTCTTGCAGGTGAAGCAAGATGTCCTTCAGGGCCGTCTGCCCTGCTCTGTCAACATAGCTGCTCAGCTGGGAGCATATGCCATCCAATGTAGGTTCCACTGAAGTGCATTTGCTTCAGAAATGTCTGCAGAAAGTGCTTGTAGTTTTCTTTGTGTGTGAATTTCTGTTCTAAAATTCTTTTTGTCCGGTGACATTTTGTAAGGAAAAAAAAAAAATGAATTCTATCACAATTCACATTTTAACCAGTATCCGAATAGAAGAGTTAAAAATGGAGCCAGTTACATTTCTCTTGCAGTAGGTTGTATGGAGTTTTAGTTGCAGGCATAGATAGCATTGATCCTTAAGTAAGTGAAGGACTCTTCGCTGGAGTTCAGTGATTCTGCACCCTGCTGCCGCTTCCGGCCAAGTGGTTATGTAGCAGAGATCGTGTTGCTTCTGGGCAGCTGTTGTGAAGATTCCGCGTGGTCCAGAGCCAAGTCTGAGTTCAGTGTGACACGCATTTGTTGCTCAGTGTACGTCATCGGCTCTTCGCATCAATATGGTGGCCAAGTGGGACGGCTCGGTGTTGTTTTGCCGTTTTGGAGACAGGCTGAGGTTATTTCTACTACTAACGAAGATCTTTTACAAATTGAACTAGGTTTGGAGAAATGAGACAGCATGGTCCTTGCCCTTCTGACACCTGTAGAACCAAAATTATAGAGGAAAAAAAAACCTAGGAAAAACGTCAAATAGATGTATTGGGTTAGGGCTTGGAAGGTAGATGAATATAGAGAGGAACAATTTTATAGGAGTAATATAATGAGCTTTCTGGCTTCATTTTGTTTCTTTTGTGAACAGTAATCCGGTATTACAGTATTGGGTTATTCCCATCACCATTATTTGGGACATGGATGTTTTCGCACACTTTCAGGGTCACTGTTGGAGAGGAATTATTGGGGTCCACTCCAGCATTTCTGTTATGTACCCTAACACTTTTTACAAACTGTTAAGAATGATAGAAATGAAAATGGTGATAAATTAGAGTCTTTGGGAAAGCAGAAATAAGGAATTTGCATTTTAAGTCAAGACTTTTTTATACCATCACTGTATATACAAAGTTATAATAGTAGAATTATTGAGTAACTATATAAATTTATTAATATAGAACTTGAAGAAAAATGCTCAAACATGATAGGGATATTTTGTTCCTGTATTTTAAAATACTTTCTTCAAATAGAATAAAATCACAATTTCTTTTGTTTTCTTTAGCGGAACTTGGAGACTATGACCCATATAAGCACACCGCAGGATACGTGTCAGAGTACCGGTTTGTTCCTGATCAGAAGGAAGAACTTGAGGAAGCCATAGAAAGGATCCATAAAACTCTAATGTAGGAATCATGTCTGTTATGGCATCATCAGTCACCATCCTAGGCTCTCAACAATCAAGAAAAGTTTCTAGAACAATAAATTTTTCACCTTGAACGTTCTAGCTTTCTTTTTTCCTTCTGTAGTTGTCTACCATGCACCATACTAAAATGCTCTTTGAAAACTCTGCAATTTGAAAAAAAGTATAAAGGAGAAATAACTTACAACCACCATATTTTTTGTTGATGGCCTCCCTGACTTCTCTCTATGTATGATTTTCCACAGAGAAAATTTGTTTTGCATAGATTTATGTGCTATGATTTTTATATAAGTGGAAGCATTCTATAAGTACTATGTTTTGCAATCTTTTTGCAGTCAGTAGTATCCTGTAAAAGATTAAAACTATACATATGATTTTAAACTATAAAAATAATGACAAATGCCTTAATGTATTTTAGATTTGTTCCTCTGTTAAGTATATAAATTCTTCACAACTAAAAACATCTATTGAGGCTGGAAATCACAGTGATGCTGGTGTGGAGCCTCAGAGAAGATTATGTTACTACCACACGCACTTCTGAGAATAGACGTGCTCCCCTAGAAGGATTTTCAACTAATAGCCTGGAACTTTGAAGTTATAATTTAATTATAGTTATTTTAGTTAAATCATCTATACTGACTAACTTTGCTTTCTTGCTTCTTATGTAGCAGTCCCCCTTGAATATGCTTGGTTTCAGATCTATTATAGTTAAGGGGAAAAATGTAGAATTAATCTGCTCCACAGAAACGTTTGCCTAGAGGATCTGTTTGAGTGAGGAGATGAGAAGTCGACTCCTGAATGGCAATCAGAGAAACCGGGCTCTCCGTCTTGTATTAGCATGCAGTAAAATGCTCTCCAGCCTGATTATAGAGTCCTTCATTTTAAGGTTTTGCTGAAGTGGATGCTAAGAGACTGCTGGTTATATTATGAAGGGTAGCATGTTTGGCACAGTCTGAGAATACTAATTCTGCTAGGGGTTTCAAAGTACAATGTATTTTGAAATTACTGTGGAGTTTTAGGTAGAGGCCCTCTTACATGTTTTGTGTGATAGTGTGGTCAGCGTGACTGTGTTTACTAAAGTAGAGCATTATCAAAAGTTTGGTAGCTTTCTTGTGTCTAATTTGTGATGAATATTCCTCTTGCATTTTACAAGTAGACTATATTGCTGGCTTTTCAGTATGCCATGACTGAAACAAGGGAATGCCTCACAGAGGAATTTTTTAATTTATAGAAATTTATAGTTCCTTTTGTTAACCCTTAAAATCCTCCTGTACCTCAGTTGATTTCTGGTAGATGCACCCCATTATTAGGAATGAATACTCTGTTCTGTGTATTATGCCCAGTGAAGATTTCTATGCCAATAAGAAAATAAAAGGTGCTATTACAGATTCTGTATGTTACTAATATATTTCTGAACTACACCAGTGCTCTGGAGACGTTGCTGTCACCCTGATTGGGTGTTGGGGGCCTCGTTCCCCTCTTCTGCCCACTGCGGTGCTCGCTTCTTTTGCTTCTGATGCAGAGCTACTGGCGCATGGAGGCATTTTGCTCTTTGCGAAGTGTATGCTTTTTAATTTGAATGCTTGTAACCTCAATAACCTCTTTGGGGGGGTTGAAATTGAAAAATTTTAATATCTGCTGGGGCATCGAGGATAGGATATAATGGGATAGGATATAATGAGGAAGAACAGATTAGGTAACTGAAATTGCCTTAGTGTAAGCATCACCGTGGAGTATAAGATTTTGTCACCAAGAAGGGAAAGGCCTCCTTGAAATACAAAGACTTAATTTTGTATTTGTACAAGGAATTATTTATTGTCCATGGAATCTAATGGAGATAGTTTTCTTTTTAATTTTATTGGTGTAATTTAGATATATGTATTGATCACATTTATCATAAGGAATTTGTACCTGTACATGATATATCTTGATGGAGATGGTTTTCATCCCCCATAAGTGCAAGAGCTCACTGTAAAGTAAGGCTCTTTGTCTTTATTCTGGGTATAGGGGTCAGGCTCCTTCTGATGCTGAGCTGAATTACTTGAGGACGGCCAAATCCCTAGAGATGTATGGTGTTGACCTCCATCCTGTCTACGTGAGTAACATTTAATTAACACAAAATATTTTAAGCTGATGACATTTTTCTTAAAAAGTCACTGAAACTCCCAAAGGAAAGCTACATTCTCATTTCTTAGCAAGCAGATGATACTTTTTCATCTGTTTTTTTTTTTTTTTTTTTTTTTTTTTTTTTTTTTTTTTTCAAAA